CCTTTGAACATGTACATTTTGTCAGCACTCTGTATGGCCCCAGGTAATGTTCCTAATTCATTTCAGATAATTAACAAATATAAATGATGCTAATGACTCAGGATCTGTGTCTCTAAAATGAAAGGATTTTCTCTTTTAACAATATGAAATTGTTCTGGGTAAGACTATGTATGACCCTCCATTCTAAGGCTGTTTCCCCAAATTCACAGTCTGCTTTACAACAACTTTCTTTTCAGTCTGGCAGTCAAATGAAAAACATTTGCTGATGTTCCTGACATCCTAACAAATACCTTTCACTGCTCACTAGGAGCTTACAATATATTGGGAAACCAAGTCAAATCACAGCAAATACAAACATTTTTTTGGGAAAAAAATGTTCCAAATTATTACAGAGAAATGGAGGTTCCACCTCACAAGCATCAGATTTGGCAAAAATGACAAAAAAAGGAAACATGATTGTTGGAAGTGTTTTGAGAAAACAGTGATGTATTGTTGATGGAGCCATGAATTAATCCAGCCTGTCTGGAACGCAATTAGGAATTATGCCCCAAAGTTACCAAACTATGCATACCCTCACCCAGCAATGAACTACTAGGCCTCTACTATAGAGATCAAAGAGTTACACACCATTTATGCAAAAAATGTTTGTGGCAGCTCTTTTTATAGCAAAGAACTGGAAACTAAGGGGATGCCTATCAACTGGGAAATGGCTTAAATTATGGTATATAAATGTAATAGTATATTATTGAATAGTAAGAAATGACAAAAGGAATGTTTTCAAAGAAACTCAGGACTTTGTGAGAACAGATGCAGAGTGAACAGAACCAGAAGAATTTATACAACAATATCGTAAAGATAGACAACTTTGAAAGACTTTAGAACTCTGATCAATGCAATTACCAACAATGATTCCAGATGGCTGATGAAGCATACTACTCACCTCCTGACAGAGATGATAGACTCAAGGTACAGAATGAGATATACACGTATGAACGTGGCCAATGTGGAATTTGTTTTGCTTAACAAAGGATGTTTTCCTTTTTTTTTTTAATGAGGGAGGGGCAGTGGGAGGAAGAAGGGGGTGGTAATAGGGTTGGAAAAAGAAAGTCTTTAAAGTATTTTTCAACTCCAGAGAACAAGAGTCCAGAAGGAAATGTAGACAAGCAGTACAGCTTTGAAAGTTACATGTTGAATTTGTTATATAGTTAAAGTAAAAGCAAGCTGTACATAATATATTCAAAGTTTATAATAATATTGAGCATTCATACAGCACTTTAAGATTTGTAAAGCATTTACCATGTTATTTCTTTGGACGTAACCCTATCTACTTAGGGGTATTATTATCCTCGCTTTACAGGATGAAAAAGTTGAAGCAAAGAAGTGGCTTGTCCAGAGCCATACAAGCTAGTGCCTGTGGTAGAGTTTGAACCCAGGTTACTCTGACTTCAAGTTCAACTCTCTACAAATCTTCTGTTCTCCTTTGTAGAAAATGTTTGTTTTCTTTGGTTAAGTTTGTGAAAAGAAACAAAAAAACCTAATTCAATTGTTTAAAAAATGTTTGAGGGGCAGCTAGGTGGTACAGTGGATAGAGCACCAGTCCTTAAGTCAGGAAGACCTGAGTTCAAATCCAATCTCAGACTAGATACTTGACATTTACTAGCTGTGTGACTCTGGGCAAGTCACTTAACCCCAATTGCCTTGCCAAAAAAAAAAAAATTGAGCCCACTCTCAAGATTTCCCATTTAAAGGTGATTCTTTTATTCAGTGGAGCAGCTAGGTGTCGAGGTAGATACAGCACCAGGCCTGGAGTCAGGAAGACCCAAGTTCAAATCTGGCCTCAGATACTTGCTGTGGCCCTGGGCAAGTCATTTAACCCTGTTTGCCTCAGTTTCCTTATCTGTAAAATGAGCTGGAGAAGGAAATGGCAAACTACTCTAGTAGCTTTGCCAAGAAAACCCCAAAATGGGGTTACAAACAGTTGGGCATGTCTGAAACAACTAAACAACAACATTTATTTAGTATTTAACCTTTATTAAATAATATGTCCAAAATGTTGTGCCAGGTGGCCATATGGTACAAAGTTAATGAGGACACGGTTCCTTTTTTCACTGAAAGGGAGGAGGAGCAGAATTTATATACATACACAACATTACACAATATGTAACTAGGAACTAATAAGACAGTAAGTTTTGTCCAGCGTAAGTTTGTCCAGGGCAATGAATATGTGTTTGGAGAATAGATATTAGGTGAAAAATAGTGTAAAGGTTTTTTGGTTTAAGTGATAGGAATAAGAAAAATACAGTTATCAAATGAGAATGTACTAAGTAAACACCTTAAAACCATAAAGCATTACCATGACAATATCAGGGATGATCATTTTTCAAAGGAATTTTGAACACTGGTCAGCACAGAGCTCTCTGTAGCTGTAGAATTTCTTACACAGTGTTCCTTCTATGAAGCATAGAACTCATGCTTGTTTTCCTAAAAAAAAAAAAAGCTTAAATAACAACTGCTCAAAGCAGTGTTTTAACTATCTGCACAAGATGGATTCCATTTAAATACCAGTGATATTTTCCCCTAAAACATCAAACATTAAATTATTTAAATACATATTACATAGAAACAATTTCTGCATGAAAATGGGCTTGAGAGGCAGTGCAGTAGAGTGGAAAAAAGCAAAGGTTTTGGAGCTGGCAGAACATGGGAGCATCAAGCTAGTGCTGGAAGTGAGACCAACATTTCAATCTCCTATTTTTAGAGATGTGTAAACTAAGGTCCAGGGAGGTTCTATCAATTACCCAAGGTCATGTGGGTTGTAAGTGGCAGAGGGGATACTGGAACCAGCTCCTCTGCCCTAACCACCTCCTATCTCTGGGCTTCATTACTGATTCTACTACAATGCTTACATGTAAGTGTGACTTCAAGGGGGAAAAAACCCACAATTTTTCTAGACCTCAGTCTCCTCATTTGGAAAATGAAGATGTTGGACAAGGTGATCTCTAATGTTTCTGTTCCTTTGATCCTCTATTTTTCTTCCATATTTCTATGACCTCTCCCCACTCCCTTTATCCCATGGGTATGACATACCAGCAGTCAAATTAACACCACTTTTTCTTGTTCTTCCAGTATTCAAATCCCCAGATTGTCCATTAACAAATTAGTTCAGAAAATGCTGACTTAAATTAATAAAATGAAGTAAAGAAAAATGAAGGTTTTCCTCTTGCCACTTTATTTCTCATTTAAATGTTTTTGTTAGATTAAAATTTGAGATAGACAAAATCGTCTAATCCAACCCCTTCAAAGGAATTAAGGCCCAGAGTTACGTGCCTTGGTCAAAATTACACAGAAACTGAAAAGCTGGGCCAATATTTGAACCAGGGTAATCTGATTCCAGAGGCACCTAGGTGGAGAAGTAGATAGAGTCAGGAGGACCTGAGTTCAAATCTGACCTCAGACACTTGCTAGCTGTGTGACCCTGGACAAGTCACTTAACCCTGTTTGCCTCAGTTTCCCCATTTGTAAAATGAGCTGGAGAAGGAAATGGCAAACCACTCTAGTATCTTTGCCAAGAAAACCCCAAATTGGGTCAGGAAGTGGCAGCTAGGTAGCTCAGTGGATAAAGAGCTGGGCCTAAAGTCATGAAGACCTGAGTTCAAATCCGACCTCAGACATTAGCTGTGTGACTCTGGGCAAGTCCCTTAACCTGGTTTGCCTTAATCCACTGGAGAAGGGAATGGTAAACCACTCCAGTATCTTTGCCAAGAAAACCCCATGGACACCACAGTGAACAAAAACAAGATCTCTGACTTCAGCACCTACTACACCATGTATTTTAGAAATCTTTATAATATGGAATTACAGACCACTAAGGCTCCATCCTTAATTGGAAAGAAGAAAGGGTACACAATGAGGACTATGCTGCATTTACCTCAGTTTTGAACTTTACTTCAGCAAGTGACTAAAAGGAATGTGGGGAGTAGCCATCGAGATTAAAAAAATGAGTAAAAGGGCATCTATGGAACCCACAAACCTGATGTAATATGAAATACAGTCAGAGGCCAAAAATCATCCCTAACAAAACACTTTTAGAAGATGCCCAATCTTCCTCCACCTTCCAAGGCTTGGCACAGTCAGCACTTAATAAACCTTGCTTGCTTTTGTCCTCCCTCTAAAAGAAGCCCTAGAAAAATATTATTTAATCAGTAACAAAACAGCCTTATGTCCCAAGCTCTCATAATTTCCCTCATCTCAAAGAATATTACAATGAAGTATCTTTACATGCCTATAAAGTACACGCCCTGCAACTGAGTTAATGCCATGAGAATCTTGATCTTTGCACGTCCGACACAGCTTATTAAAATATTCAAAAAAGTTTTCTAGAGATTTTTGTATTTCAAGAGTTTATCTTCTCGGTGCAAAATTATAAAATAGGAAGAGGGTAAATTAATTTTCAAATCAACCTGATCTCTTACGTTTCAGATTCTTTAACTGTCAGAAACCGTTTTTCTGGAACCTTTATTTTAAACACTTTTTTTAAAAAAAGCGTTTTAAAAAATTGTGGCCTTATCCGTTGTTTTCTAGTTCCGAGTAAAGGAAGCGCTCTGGAGCAGGTAAGAGGAACGCGCCCCACGTAGCGCGCTTCAGCCCGGATATGTCGGGGAGGATTATCCCCGGCCCTGGAACGCGTCCGAGTCTAGGTCGACCAGAAGCCCCACGCGCCGCCGAGCCCATCTGTCCGTGCCAATACAACTCGCAACTTTTCAAACCAATCCCTCTGCATCATGCAACGGATGCCTGTGGCACCAGGAGTTTGCAAACGCCCCCCCACCCCCCCAATCCTCCTCCCGCTCCCCCGAGACCAATCATTGCATGGCTCAGGGTTAGGCATTCCCCCCCCTCCCCTTTCCCCGAGCCGCACGCACACCACCGAACAGCTCCGAGGTCTCCTGCCCCTACCGCCCCTTAAAGGGAGGTAGCCAGCCCTTAAAGGACCCTCACACCTTGTGCTCAGCATGCCTTTGGCAGCCCCGTTTCGGAGCCGGGGACCCAGAGAGTGAAAAGCCGAGGATCCGGCGAGGCGCCCAGGTGCGGGTCTGGGGTTCACCCCCACCCCCCACCCCCTCCTCCACGGCCTCCCAGCAGCCTGGAGCGGCATTTTTATTCAGGCGACGCTTAAGGGAGCCCCGGCTGCGCCCGGTGCATTGTGGGAACGGCCGGGAGTCCCGTTTTCAGGAGGAGGAGGAGGGCGAAAAGCGAACCGGTAAGAGCCTGACTGGGGGGGAGGGGGGGGAGAGACACGCCTGGCTTAAAGGGGAATATTCATCAATAAGCCCCGTAGCGCCCTTTGCAAATCCTCCGCTCCGTCGGGCCCCGGACAGGCAGGGAGACGTGCACCGCTGGCCCGCTAGAGCCCAGCTTGGCGCGGGGGGCCGGAGTGTGGGGTGGTTGGGGCCGCTTTAAAAAAGAAGCACCGCCCGCTCCGTAGCTGCCGCCTCCGCCGCTGTCGCCACCAGCAGCCGCTCTGAGCTGGGGAAGGAAGGAGGGAGGGAGCGAGCGAGCGAGCGAGGGAGGGAACAAGGGAGGGGAGGGGTGTGGGGGGGAGGGAGGGTGGCGGCGGCGGCGGCGGCGGCGGTGGCAACGCACGGGTTAATTTTTTCACCCGCCGACATTTTTGTTTGGCCGCTGCAGCTGGCGGGCCGCTGCGCGTCCGCGTGCGCGCGCCGCTGAGGAAATCCAGCTCGGGCGTCCCGGGGAGCGCGGCGCGCGCGGCTCCCGGGCACCTCCCGTTCCACCCCTCCCCCACACGCACAACACTCGTCCATGACACTCGCGCTCACTCTCACGCGGCCTCCTCCTTTACGTCCCTTCTGGACACCCACAAAGGGTTAACTTCGTCCCCCTCGTGACACTTGCTCTTGTTACCTGCCCCCCCGAAAAAAACGGCCTTTCGCACCTCCCTCCCCCTCACTAAAACCAGCGATTGGGGGGAGGGGGCCTTCGGGTCGCCCCTGGCGCGCGCTCCCCATTGGCGGCGGCGGCGGTGGGGGCCGAGGGAGCGCGCAGGGGTGTTCCCGCCGCGGGGCGGGGGGGATGTCCCGGTGGAAAGCGCCGGCTTCCCCCGCCCCGCCGGCCGCACAAAGAGCGCCGGCCGAGGCCTGATTTGCCTTTAAAGGCAGCGGCTTGGCATTTAAGGTGTCCCCGAGTCGCGTCCCTGCAGCCGCATGGACAGGCGGCCCGCCGCCGCCTCGCCCCCGCGTGGTGGTGCCCGCTCCATTGTTTATTTCCCGGAGCTCGCGGTAGGTAGGTCGAGGCAGCGGCCGCGGGCTTGGGGCACCGTCCTCCCTGCCCCCTGGCACTTTTAAAAATCCTTAAAAGTGTCCGAGGAGGAAGGGGTTAAACTTCGTCTTTACTTATTCTTGTCATTGTTTTAAAGTATTGTAAACATCTGGGGGCGGGAGAAGCCAGGGGAGGTGTAGCCTCTTGTTAAACAAATTGACTTTCACCTCCACCGCCACAGTAATTGCCCATTTCCCTGACCATTCCTGGTCTTTTCCAATCGCTGACCAAAAAATAGGGATTTCCTGTTTTCCCCCCTCCGGAATTGCTTCTCTTGTGGCTCGTGTTCGCATTCAAGTTTCTATGGGAGAGCTCGGGAGCTTGGAGATACTCCTACCTACCCTTACATTCTTAACCAATCTAGGGAAGTGACATGTAAATATGCTGGTACATATACACCAGCCGTCAACACCGGTCTGTCTCCCCGGCCCCACTCCAGTGCGGTTAGAAGATGTGAGGAATATATCGATTTTGTCCGTAGGCTTTTGCTGTGCTTTTTCTATGGAGAGGTTCTTATTTTTAACTCTTGAGTCAAAGCCTTCTTTAAAAATTTTCCTATAAATCACCAAACTGCTTTTAAAAACAAACACAACAATCTCTGACTTTTGTTATAATGATAGAATGCTACCCCATATTTTTTTTGACAGGTTGTTTTTTACCTAGTGGTATAGGCCTTTTCTACAGTCACAAGTTTGAGACTGGAATCGTCGCTCATCCCAGACACGTTTTTTGGTTTGGTTTTTTTTTGGTAACTAAGGCTTGGATTACTGCCCATGCTTAGGCTTTATAAGATGTGTTTTCAATAAGTGGTATGCCTACCAGGGGAGGAAAAACACTTGCTGTAAATGGAAGTTATGTTCTTAATCTGAAGTTTTGTAGAGGAAAGTGACTCTAAAATTTGAGTTGCCTGTGTAATTCCACACCTTAAGCAGTCCTGAAGGTTTGTTAAACCCAAGAGCTGAATTTTGGTTTTTGCTGTAACTCAAAAGACTTCAAATCTAGAAAGGCCCATTGGAATAGCTTTTGGCATTGGACAGCACATTAAGTGCTGGTGATTAGTTTGATTTAATTGTAAGCCTTGCAATGAAACACTATTAAAGAGTACCTATAGTACTTTGTCAGTGATGCAACTTGCTGTTGGATAGAATATTTGCTGTCTAGGAAATGGGATTTCATTTTTTAAAAATTGGAAAATCTACAGTAGTACAACTATGTCATACAACTATATTGTACCATGTAAAACAGGCACTCCCATTTGAAAGTTGTGTACTTTAGTGGGACCTCCTATTAGTTTTGGATTATGTTGTATACCTCTGACTCAGAATAAAAACATTTTCTTCTAAAATTAGATTTTGGCATTATAGAGAATTTCATCAAATGAATTTGCATTAACATCTTTTCCATGGGTTTTCTAACAGGCCTTGTACCTCTTGAGCATTTGCAGCCTTGTTAAAAGATTTACCATGAAAGTTATTTTTTTGCCAAAAACTTTAAACTTTTAAAATATGCCAATTGCCAGATGAAGTGTCTGACATTTTTTTTTAATTTCTAATGTTATGTGCTTTGAGGATCTTTGAGACCTGTTTTTCAGGAAAGAAGTTTCATGAAATAAACTTCCAGTTCTTTTATATCATCTTTTCTCTGTCTTGACCCTATGATGTAATAATGCTTTAGGCATTGCACTCTCCTTTAGATGAGCTCTATGGGTTTTATATAGATTGCTAGAGAGAAAGTATGTGCAACCTTCCCCCCCCCCCAACTCCCCAATCCAAGTAACTTTTAGAGATGTGTCTTTATTGTTCTGGTTCATAAAAGTCAATATAAAGAGTAGTGATGTATAGTGCAATTATCCACTGACTTTGAATCACCTGAAATGGAAAAGTCTTTTATGGATTGCCCTTTGGGGGGGGGAGTTACTTTTCTTTTTCTATTTTTCAGTCTCTTTACTTGAAAGGTATTAGATGATATTCTTATGTTGCCTTTTTGTGACTTGCATATAGGTGGACCAGGCAAGACACCATCAGACTAGAGGAGGGGGGAAAAAAGACTAAACTGTGAGTGTGTGTGCCTAAGAGCCATGTCTGTTCGGGAATCCTTTAACCCAGAAAGTTATGAATTGGACAAGAGTTTCCGGCTAACCCGTTTCACTGAACTGAAGGGCACAGGCTGCAAGGTACCGCAAGATGTCCTACAGAAATTGCTGGAATCCTTACAAGAGAATCACTTCCAGGAAGATGAACAATTTTTGGGAGCAGTTATGCCAAGGCTAGGTAAGCAAACCATATCTTTACCTTAATACCTCAATAGCATATCTGTGGACAAATCCAGCTGTAGCTAGGATTTTTTTTTCTGTCCTAGTTCTAGCACCTCTACTGTGTTCCCTTGTCAGTTATTTTATCCAAACAAAAATGATCCAAATAGGAACTCAAAATTAACTGTGTCAAATAATTATAAGTTGTTCAATGCTAGAAAAAAGTCTTGAATGACACCAAGTTTTGGAGATATATGTGACTGGGGCACTCCTGCTATTTTAAGATAAGAGCATCATTCTCTGACAGTGAAACTTTCCATTAAATAGAATTCTCAGGATGCATCTAGGTATTTCGATTTCCTGTTTAAGTATCAAGCAACCCCCCGCCCCCCCACCTTGTTTTCTGAGAGCCATACAATGTCATTGTAAAAAAGGATCTCAGAGGCCATCTAATTCAAATCCTTCAAAATGTATGAATTCACCTTCCTGCCTCAGTAAATTTATTGTTTTGCAGGTTGTATTTCTTTGAGGATCCTATAGTTGTGGGGGAAGGGAGGAGGAACAGGAGGAGCTATTTTGAACTGAACATCAGTGGATGTTATGATGTGAGGTAGCCCAGTTCTCTGTATTGATCCTAGGATATTTTGTATTTCCATTACTAAATTCCTGACATTAACTAGTTGTCTTGTAACTTGTCTCTCTTTTCTGAAAACCATGGAAAGAATTTCTTTCCATCTAGTTAATGCAGGTTTTGCTTCACTAGGTTGATAAACACACGGTACAAGTAAATGGTCAGTTTGAACTCTGGGAGTATGATCTGGGAATTTCTATAGCTTGTGGTTCCAGTATGAACCTAGTTGATTTGTTACATACTTGGTCTAGTGTTATGGGTTTTGGGGGGGTTTTTTTGCTTTAATGTCTTTAGTATAGTCATTAGACTCAGTACATACTGGGTGCTTCAAATTAAAATAATATAAGTTATATCATGAGTCAGAAAAGAAGTGAAAGGAAGATGTTTGTATGGAAACATGAAGACTAGATCTATCAAGGTGTTAAATAAACTAGTAGAGGAAATAAACCACTTAGTTAAATATAAAGGGTAATTACTAGATGGTGCTATTGTTAATATTTAATTATATTCTTTAAGGGGAAAAGTTTTAAGTCCTTTGTTTTGAGTATCAATTTAGCATCACATCATCTAATCTACAACCTCATTTATCTGTTCTGAAACCAAAAAAATAACTGTCACAGGAAATGACCTCTGAGTAGGCAAAATAATTGCATCAGAACCCATGCCCTAAATCTCGTTCATTTTATTCATAGAAGGTTGTAGGTGCTGTATAAATGCTTGTTCCCTTTCCCTTGGCCCTTTACTTAGAACCTTTTGACTCTTACTTCACATGTAATTGTAATGTCAGTTGTTTACTTTCCAAACCCACTACCAATTAAAAGCTTTGAGAATTTAACAGTCTGATTCTGGGGGAGATTCAGACAAATTAGGCC